TAATAGCATCAAACTATAAATAATCCAAATATCCACTGGCAGCAGAATGATTAGTGGTTCATAAATAGCACTCTATAATAATTAAAATCAATGAATTAAATACATGTAAAAAGAAAACACAAAAAATACAGCATAATTTCATTTATATATAAGTTCAGAAACAAAAACTATTTTCATTAAAGATGCATAAACTAAATATTACTAATGTTATTAGAGGGTCTCACTGGACTCCAGCAATCCTCCCACCTCAACCTTCCTTCCAAGTAGCTGAGATTATAGGCATGCACCACCATACATAGCTCATTTTTTAACTTTTTTGTAGAGATAAAGTCTCGTTATGTTGTCCAGGCTGGTCTTGAGCTCCTAGGCTCAAGTAACTCTCCCACCTCAGCCTTCCAAAGTGCTAAGACTACAGGTGTGAGCCATCACGCCCAGCCAATAGCTAAAATTACTTGAAAATACATAAGGAACTAAGATAACTCTAAAGAAAACCAAGAAAATGATTACCACAAAAGTTAATTTTGAGATTACTTCTGGGGGAAGTGGGATGTGATTGGAAGGATGTATGTGAGATGTCTCTAAGAATCTGAAAATGATATTCCTTCAATTGAGTTGTAGTTAAACAAGTGTTAACTTTACAGCTGTCTGTTCAACTGTACATTTTATATGTACTTCTGTTATATGTTTATATTTATCTCAACAACCACACATACTACACACAAAATACTGCATACATACAAACACACAGAGAAGCATAGGTTGATTTTTCCATAAAAATTTTAGCTGTGGCCAGGCTCCGTGTAATCCCAGCACTTTGGGAGGCTGAGTTGAGTGGATTGCCTGAGCCCGCAGATTCGAGACTAGCCCAGGCAACTTGGCAAGACCTCGTCTCTATAATAAATAAAAATTAGCTGAGTGTGGTAGCGCATGCCTGTAGTTCCAGCTACTTGAAAGGCTGAGGCAGAAAAATCGCCGGAGCCCAGCAGGTCGATGCTGGGGTGGACGTGAGCATGCTACTGCACTCCAGCCAGGGTAACAGAGTAAGACTCCAACTCAGAAAAAAAAAAAATTTAGCTGTTATCTTCAGGTAGTAAATTCACTCCCCTCATATTTTATCTTTAATAATGGGAATAAATGCCTCCTCTCTCCAGTGTAATGGACATTACAGGAAAATTAAGTCACCTTACCTTTACAGAATGAATTTTTGTACACAACAGGACACTATACTCTATGTACACATGGACAAATTTAAGACTAAAAAGAATTCTACACCAGGCACCATGGCTCATACCTATAACCACAGCACTTTAGGAGGCAGAGGCAGGAGGATCACCTGAGCCTAAGAGTTTGAGACTAGCCTGGGTAACATAGTAAGACCTTGTCTTTACAAAAAAATCCAAAACATTAGCTGGCTGTGGTGGCACACACCTGCAGTTGTAACTACTAGGGAGGCTGAAGTAAGATCACATTAGTCCAGGAGTTGGAGGCTACAGTAAGCCATGATTATCCAACTACACTCCAGCTTAGGCAACAGAGTGAGACACTGTCTCAAAAAAATAAAATCAGAAGTACTTATCAATCTGTTTACTGAGACAATTACCAGTGTTTACATATAACTAAATGTCAGAGTTCTGTATCTGGAACTTAGAAGTTTTCCCACCATTCTACACAAATTCCCATAGCTGATATCCATGTATTCACCTTCCCCTTAGTATTTTCTGTGATATTTTCCTCATCTGATATTCAATTAATTCATTTTTTAAATAATCACTCATTTATTCAACAAATATTTATTTACTACCTACTATACTCCAGGAACTCTACACAGGATATACAAGGGTGAAAAGGAATGGGAAAAGTCTAAGTTTACATTTTGGTGCAACAGACAATAAATAATTTCAGATAGTGGTCAGTTCTATGAAGAAAACAGAATAATGTGACAATGACTGGGGGTGGTCAAACATTTGGGCTGAGATTTGAATGCTCAGTCAGCCACTGAGCATTCAACTACAAGAAGGAGTTACAGGCAGAGGGACTAGTAACCATCGAGGTCCAGAAGAGGAACTGCCCATGGTGGATAGAATGAAGGCAACTCTGCCCGGAGTCCTGTGTGCAAGGACGAAGGGTGACTCATGGAGGGCCAGGCAGGTCATAGTAAAGAGTTTAGATTCCAGTCTTGATGCAATGGGAAGGCTGCTGGAGGTTTTTTAAGCAAGGAAGGGCCACAGTAAAATTTGTATTAAAAAAAAATTATTTAGGGGCTACGTAAATAAAACACTGTTCAAGTGAAAGAGTGTTAGGCAAAGCCAAAAGTGAAAGGGGGAAAACTAGTTTTTACTACAGAAATTCAGTGAGAAGTTTCAAGGAGGGTCAAAGCAATGAAAATGGAGAGAAGTAGACAACTTCCAGATGTATTTTGAGAATAGATCACATCAAATGAGTGCTGATTTCTTTGTTGAATAGCTATTTATTGTATGCTATAATGTTATCAGGCATTATGCTAGGTGCAGGGTACAATGAACTCAACAGGACAGACAGGGTCCCTGACCTCAAAGAGCTTATATATTACATATTCTAATGGGAGAAACAAATTTTATAGATTAAAAAAATACATCCTATGTCAGATAACAAGCATTATGATGAAAAATAAAAGGGAGTAATAGAGGAAGGTGTTATTTTAGAAAAGTCAGCCGGGCTTAGTGGCTCAGCCTGTAATCCCGCACCTTTGGGAGCCTGAGGTGAGTGGATTGCCTGAGCCCACGGGTTTGAGACCCGCCTGGGCAACTTGGCGAGACCTCATCTCTACAATAAATCAAAATGAGCCGGGCGTGGTAGCATGTGCCTGTAGTTCCAGCCACTTGGAAGGCTGAGGCAGAAGGATCGTCAGAGCCCAGCAGGTCAAGGATGCGGTGGCCGGGAGCGTGCCACTGCACTCCAGTGTGGGTGATAGAGTGAGATTCCAACTCAAAAAAAAAGAAAAGTCAGAAAAAGACTCTGCAGAGGAAGTGACATTTAAGCAAAGACCTAAAGTGAAGCACAAGCCATACAACCATTTAGGAATGAAGTACTTCAGGCACAGGGAACAGCAACGGAAAAGACTGAGGAAGAAATGTGTTTATCTCGTGAAAACAGACAAGACAACATGGCTAAAGCACAATGAACAAAAAGTAGAGTGGCAGATGAAGCCAAAGAGATGGCCAGAGGAGAGATCACATAAAGCTGTATAGTTCATAGACAGAATTTTAAATTTTATTTGTGATAAAAAGTCATGAGAACTGAGAACAGAGCAGTGATACCTGATTCACAATTTTTTTTTTTTTTTTTTTTAGTCGGAGTTTCACTCTGTCATCCAGGCTGGGGTGCACTGTCATGCTCATGGCCACCGCAGCCTTGACCTGCTGGGCTTAGGCAATTCTTCCACCTCAGCTTTCCAAGCAGCTGGAACTACAGGTGTGTGCCACCATGCCTGGCTAATTTTTCTTGATTTATTGTAGAGACGAGGTCTTATCAAGTTACCTAGGCTGGTCTGAACCCCTGGGTGCAGGCAATCCTCTCGCCTCTGCCTCCCAAAGTGCTGGGATTACAGGCATGAGCCACTGCACCTGGCCTGATTCACATTTTTTAAAGGACCATTCTGACTACTTTTCTGGAAAATAAACTGAGGGATAAGTAATATATATATATATGATGACAGTGCCTTCAACTAGAGTGGTATTAGCAGAGGAGTGAAAAAGGACATCTTTGAATATGTTGGCCAAATTGAATAAGCTCTGCTAAATTTAATGTAGAAATGTTAAAAAAAAAAAAGAGTCAAGGATTATCTCCAGGGTTTTGGCTTAAAAAACTGGAGAGCCAAAAGTAACATTTAACTGAGACAAGGAAAACTAGGACAAGAACAGGTTGAAGGACAGAAATCAAAAGCTGTTTTTTGTCTTGAGATGTCTACTAGATATACATGGAAATGTAAAGTAGATTGTGGCTATAAAAGGCTAGAGCTCAGGGAAGAGGTTGACATTAGAGAGAACTTTGTTTTGGAAAGATACTAATAGCTGGTAGATAATTCTCAGGAATAAAATTTCTCCCATATTTGAGAATTTACTGGTTCAATTCTTAGGAGCCCCCTAAATAGGTTCAAATAAAGAAAATAGGTTCAAATTTATTCCTCCTCTGGGCATACTGCAGTAACACAATTTGCCAGTATACACTAATAAGCGATGAATTCCAATCATAACATTTTACTTTCTTGACTTCAGACTAAAAAACTGATAAATTTTATAATTTATCTAGAAAAAGGAATATAAGGGCTCAGCCTAATACATTCCAAAGTTAATGAAAATGTTATTACAAAAACAAAGTTTTAGTAAGTCTAAAAGGTAAAGGAATCAGATCTATTTCTATTATAGCTTCTCTCCCCCTTTTATTCTTTATCATCTAGAAGCTTGGTCACCAATAAGTTCACAAAGTTAGATATTCATTTTCAAAATAGAATTTATTTCTGTAGTAAAGAATTAAAATATGGCTGTGAAAGTAGAAAATAATATAGAAAAATATTTAAGATGTGCAACAGTAATTTTTAAAGTTAGTTAAGCACTAGAGTTTATGCTTAACTTCTACTTGAAAGACCAACAAGTATTTTACTAATTACACTTGAGAAAACACCTATTTGCAATTTTAATTAATTGTTATAATTCAAAAACAGGTTTATATAACTGGTCAGGCCTTTATGAAAATATAGGTACAAACCTTGAGGATATATTTCTTGCAACTGGCCTCACTTCACAGAATGATAAAGCTACTATCCAAAAGTCATAAAGAATAAGTCCTCACTAACTTATCCTTATACTTAAACCAACATGGAAGAAATATATACTTTTTGGATGAAACAAAATGTTTTCATAAAAATGGGATATTATGTTGGTATAAGAGCTGGTAAACTCATATACCCCAAAACTTGGTTTCTACTAGATGGGTTTCAAATTCAGACATTAAACAGATGAAATATCTAATTAATTCTATCATCTCTTCCCCAAAGTTTTACTTACAATCAAGTTATTGGTATTATTTGTATGCAGAACATACAAAAAGAATTGGAAGATATTTGAATAAAGATGGAAGTGAAATCTTCAGAAACTATTGATTGCAGTTTGCAGAATAGGATAATCTTCTCTAGGAAGAATAATGTCAACATAGCAGCACTACATTCACCAGAAATTGCCAGAGCCAACGGATCAATCATGTAGCAGGAAGCCAAATCTTCTGGTTGCTCACAATATCAATTAGCTTCCCTTTAATCTTCAGGAAGTGTCTCTTGAACTCTAATCCATCACCCTATATTAAGAAAAATATCCAAAAAAGATAATGCCATTAAAATCAAGCTCTCTTTAGTGGTAGGTAAAGATAAACATCCTTAGCTATATCAAGCTATAATTCTGTAGGTACTCTAATGAAGACCAAATATCTTGGTAGAGAAAAGGGCTACATAAATAATTCTGACCTTATTTCATACCCATCAATGTTTTTACCATACTCAGCTCAGAGAGTAGGAAAAAAATGGCATTCTGTTTTAAGTGCTGGTATGTCTGGTCCTAAATCATTGTTTTCCATAGGCAGTGGGAGTTTGGGAACTAAGAATAAGCTATGCAAGTACACTGAAGTATTGTCCACAATTCTATGGCATGAAGGGCAATAAATTTAATTATGAGAAGAATTTATTACGCTAAGATCTTAATAATTCAATTTCACAGCAAGCATCTGGAAAACAAACCTCCAATATAAACTAGAATAGAATGTAAACTATCCCTCCAACCTTCAACCTTCTTTCAGATACATACAATCTCTCAGGAAATACGGAAAATGGTACTTTGGTCTTATATATCAAAGGCTTTAAAACTATAACCTTGGAACAAATAGTTTCTAAAGAAATAATCAGAGCCAGGTGTGGTGGCTCATGCCTGTAATCCCAGCACTTTGCAAGGCAGAAGCAAGAGGATTGCCTGAATCCAAGGGTTCAAGACCAACCTGGGCAACTTGGCAAGACCTTGTCTCTAAAATAAATTTAAAAATTAGCCAGGCATGGTGGTGCATGCCTGCACTTCTAGCTACTTGGAAGGCTGAAGTGAAAGGATTGCCTAAGCCCCGCTGGTTGGCTGAGGCTGTAGCGGCTGTGAGTGTGCCACTGCACATCAGCCTGGGCAACAGAGTAAGACTCCAACTCAAAAAAAAAAAGAAAAAAAGGAAACAATCAGATATGCGAACAAAAATCTATGTCTAAAAATATTAATCACAGAATCACTTGTAACAGGTAAAAGTTTATTAAATTGTAATGTGCAATTTTTTTTAAATAAGAATTTTTATTAAAAAGATATCAAATGTAAATTAACAGAAATATTAGACTACTTGAAAATATTAAGGGTGATTACTGCTGGATAGAATAATTTAGGATTTTAAAAAATTCCTCGTTTTTTGTTTATCTACATTTCCTACAAAAATCAAACCTTTATAATAAGAAAAATGTCATTTGAAAAAATATCTTGGAAAAACAGATAATAACAAGAACAAATGTTCATAATATTAAATGAAAAAAGCAAGTATCATATATTTACAAAAGCCATATATATTCAAATACAATGCCATTTTAAAAAATATTCACATGGAATAATATAACTAAATATATTTTAAAAATACCTTAGAAAGCCGAAAATCAACCAGTATCTTCTCATCCATTTCTACCAAATTCACTTTGAAAATGAGTTTGTTGTTTCTCCTATCAGTTGTTGATACAGTAACCTAAGGCAACAAAAATAAGGTTAAGCCATATGCGTAATTAAACTAGTATAGCCACTATGTAAAAAATTATGTAGGTTCCTCAAAAAGCTTTAAATAGAGCCCCCAGATGACCCAGTAATCCCCCTAGTACTGGGAATCTATCCAAAGGAAAGGAAATCATATTGAAGAGATATGTGCACTCCCATATTTACTGTAGCACTATTCACAATAGCCAAGATATAGAATCATCCTAGGTGTCCAACAACAGATGAATGGGTAAAGAAAATGTCATAAATGTACAATGGAATACTATTCATCCCTAAAAGGAATGAAATCCTTTCATTTGAGGCAACATGAATTGAACTGAAGATCATAATGTTAAGTGAAATAAACCAGGAAGAAAAAGTTACCCACCACATGTCCTCACTCATATGTGGAAGCTAAAAAAAGTGGACTTCATAGAATTAAAAAGTAGAAAAGTGGATACTAGAGGCTGGGAAGCATAGGGTGAAGGGAGGGATAGGAAGAGGTTTGTTGATACAAAGCATAGCTAGTTAGGAAGAGTAAGTTCTAGTGTTTCATAGCACAGTAATTTGACTACACTTAATAATAATAATATATTATAAAATTTCAAATAGCTATAAAAATATTGAACATTCCCTTCACAAGAGAATGATATATGTTTGAGATGATGAATATGCTAATTACCCTGATTTCATCACTATACATTATACATATCAAAACAACACTATGGGCTGGGCACAGTGGCTCACGCCTGTAATCCTAGCACTTTGGGAGGCCATGGTAGGAGGATTGCTTGAGCCCAGGAGTTCAAGACCAGCCTAGGCAACACAGTGAGACTTCATTTCTACACACACACAAAAAAATTAGCTAGAATTGGTGGCAAACTCCCATAGTCCCAGCTACTTGGCAGTCTGAGGCTGAAGGAATGCCTGAGCCCGAAGGTCAAGGCTGTGGTAAGTCATGATTTTGCCATTGTTCTCCAGCCTAGGTAACAGAGTGAGACTCTGACTCAAAAAAAAAAAAAAAATCACGAATCATATTCCATGAATATGTAATTATTTGTCAATTAAAAAAATTAATTAAAAACAATTTACAGGCTACTTCCATAACAATAGTATCAAGTATGCTTGAGATCTCACTCATTACACTGAGATCTTCTCTCAATGGTTGTGTATGTTCCCAAACCAAACCAACCTGTAAACAAGGTGCAGCTCCATTTAAGAGATTGAATCTATGTGAATTCTTAGCAACAAAGTAATTTTGCTTTTTACCAAAATGTCACTGAATGAAACAAAGAGAATAAAAATATAATGAGAGGATAAATAAGATTAACAAAACATAAAAAAGTCTAGATTTGTGGTTTAAAAGCTACAGAAGCTATCAAAAGATGGCAAAGGTCTTCAAAGGCCTTGCAACTTCTACTTCCAGTCTTTTAGAATGCTCCTAAGACCTGTAAAGACGCTCAGGCTAGATAAGTGACATGGAAAGAAAGGCCCAGTCAATAGTAGTACCAAGATTCCAAACATGGGGGTATGGCTGTTTTAGACCATCAGCCATAGTAAACATATCACATAACTATAGTTGTATGAATGAGCCCAAGCAAGATCAACAGATTTGCCCAGCTAAGCCCAGCCCAAATTATAAAAGCATTTGTAATAATTCTTACTCCAAGAAACAACTGTGAAAGCACACAACTGTACCATAATTATGAAACGGTACATTATGTTCCAGGAAAAATAATGTGATACTGAACTCAGTATGTCTAAATTAAGCTCTTAAACTTCAAGGACAAAGAAAATATATCAAGAATTTATCTAGAAAGAGTGAACCTACCAGTGATGTCTATAAAAATGATAGAGTAAGGAATTCCAAAAACCCATTACTCCACAAAAGCAACAATAATAATTTAACATCAACAAAGAAAGGCAAAAACTGGCAGAATAAACTTTTTCAAAACATTACAAACTAACTAAGAGTTCACAGCAACACTCATGCCAGAAAACAAGTGAAACTCTAGAAACTCTGGCATTGTAATTCAACTTATTCCCATCTCCTGCTCCTCACTTAATAGTATCCTTGAAAATATCAATCCATATTTCAGATATAGGTACAAGTAGGAGCAGAATAAACCTCATTTACAAACTCGCTTAAGCTGATCTGACCCCCTGAAAGATCTGCTCAAAACACATCTTTATTTTGTTTTTCTAATGATAACTCACCTTATGGTACAGCCACTCCTGGGGGGCATTTATTAAAAACACTTACAGGAAAATGATTTAGCTCTGTTGCTTGAAACAATGATAGCAATTGAAGCAAACAAGAGAATACCCAAAAAGCTTAAAGGAAAGGCTAAGGAGTAAAATGTTTTTGAGAAATAAGGACTTTGAAAAGTTCCTACATATTACCTGGGAATCTAAAAGAATATACCCATGACCAGGGTGGTACACATGGCCAGGAGAGGTCTGAGAAGGCAGTAAGCTCTACTTCTGCCTATCTATGAGGTTTTATGCAAGCAGGTAGTGAAGGCTAAGGTACAGCTGTAAACTTCCTGATTGAGTACTGCAGGTGTGCCCCAACACATACACAGAACTCCTCAGCAGATATCAGGACATTTTTTTGGTTCACAGAATTTAAGGAAATCTCTGTCCAAGCATTAAGCTGACCATTAAATCTTGTGAGACAGAAACTTCATGGCCACACATGAAAAAGAATATAGACTTTCAAAAATTACATCAAAGCCAGGTATGGTGGCTCATACTTGTAATCCCAGTACTTTGGAAGACCGAGGCGGGAAGACTGCTAAAGCCTAGGAATTCGAGAACAGCCTGAGCAATAGAATGAGACTTTGTTCTTATAAAAAAAATTACATCAGAAAAGCCACTAAAAAAAAAAAATCACTATATCAAGTTGTCAACTACAATAAACCCTAGTAAGGGGAAAATCTGATTTCTAAAGTTGCCACATTATAATATTCAAAATATCTAGCTTTCAAAAAAAATTACAAAGCATACAAAGAAACAAGAAAGTACAGCTAGCTGGGCACAGTGGCTCATGCCTGAAATTCCAGCACTTTGGGAGGCTGAGGCAGGAGGATTGCTTGATCCTAGGAGTTCGAGACCTGTCTGGGCAACATAGCAAAACCACATCTCTATAAAAAATAAAAACTTAGCTGGGCATGGTAGTACATGCCTGTAGTTCCAGCTACTCAGGAGGCTGAGGAAGGATCACCTGAGCCAGGAGGTCCAAGGTCCAGGCTACACTAAGCCGAGACCATACCACTGCACTCCATCTAGCCTGTGTGGCAAAGTGAGACTCTGACTTGAGAGGTAGGAAGGGAGGAAGGGGGGAAGGGAGGGCAGGTGGGCAGGCAGGCCCATATACAGGAAAAATGTAACCAAAACCAAGCAAACTGTCCCTAAGGAACATAAAGAAAGAAGAATGAAGAAAAATGAAAAGAGCCTAAGAGACCTGTGGTATACCAATAAGTGTATGAACACATGCAAAATGGGAGTGCAAGAGGAAAAGGAGACAGGGACAGAAAGATTATTTGAAGAAATAAAGGCTAAAAACTTTCTACACTTGATTAAAAACATTAATCTGGTCAGGCATGGTGGTTCACGCCTATAATCCCAGCACTTTGGGAGGACGAGGTGAAAGGATTGCCTGAGCCCATGTGTTCAAGACCAGCCCGGGCAACTTAATAAACCAAAAAATTAGGCAGGTGTGATGGCTCATGCCTGTAGTTCCAGTTACTTGGAAGGTTGAGGTGGAAGGATCACCTGAGCCCAAGCAGGTTGAGTGTGCAGTGGCCATGAACGTGCCACTGCCCTCCAACCTGGGTGATGGAGTGAGACTCCAACTCAAAAAAACCAAAAAACCCCCATAATCTATAAGTCCAAGAAGCTCAATGAACTCCAAATAGGATGAACTCAAATAGATCCACACTGAGATACATCTTTAGTCAAACAGTAGTCAAGAGAGAATCTTGAAAGCAAGCAGCAAGAGAGAAGCGACACATCATGTAAAAGAGATCCTCAGTTGATTTCTTATGAGAAACCACAACAGTCAGAAGGCAGTAGTACAATATATTCAAAGTGCTAAAAGACAGAAAATATATAATTAGAATTTCGTATCCAGCAAGACTATCTGTCAAAAAAAATGAAGGCGAAATTAATGTATCTCAGTTAAAACCTGAGAGAATTCATTAATATCAGACTTCCATACAAAGAATGCTAAAGGAGCTGGGCTCGGTGGCTCAGCCTGTAATCCCGTGCCTTTGGGAGGCTGAGGTGAGTGGATTGCCTGA